TGATGTATGTATGGATTGTGATAAGAATTGTATGAGCCCCTATAAAACAATTTTTAAAAAAAGACTACAATCCTTGATCTTCGTCATCAAATGCTTCAATTCCTCCTCACTTTCAGTAAGCCAGTTTGTGTCATCTGCATACTGCAGATTGTTAATAAGCCTTCCTCCAATCTTGATAGCATATTCTTCTTCATAGAGTCCAGCTTCTCTGATGGTTTGCTCAGCATACAGATTGAACAAGTATGGTGAGAAGATACAACTCTGACCCACACCTTTCCTGGTTTTAACCCAGGTAGTATGCCCTTGTTCTATTCACACAACTGCCTCTTGATCCATGTACAAGTTATGTCTGAGCATAATGAACTATTCTGGAATTCCCATTCTGTTCAAGTAGTAAGTATGATATAATTAAGGATAGTAGTGTAGTGTAATTAAGAAATGTTTACTCCCACTTTAAAAAATAGATTTTATTCTTATTGCAAGTATATTAAAACTCTTCTATAAGAATGCTACAGTTGTAAATGGGAGCACAGCATGAGGCTTAGCGGCATTCAACTACATAGTAGCTCAATTTTAAGGAGGTAGATAGAGAAAGGAAAAATGCATAAAAGCTGCTTAGTCACTAAACTTCCTGTGTGAGCCACCAGATGGCATAGGTACTTCACCTCAGTGAGGCACCGACTTGTGATTCCTTTTGACTGTGGGGGGGGGGGGCTGAGGAAAGTTTCTTGCAGTCGGTTGTTGAAAAGTTTAGGATGCTCTTAGGTTAGTTCTTTGTAACCTGGTAATGTCTGGTTTATATAATAAAAACATACTTAGCTTTTAATCGCATATTTTAATTTCTAGATAATTTAATACGCATACATCTGTACATGCACAGTGAGGGTAAGTCAAAAAGTATTGCTATTATGGTCCCAGTTAGGCTTATTCCAAACAAAGCATATTTAAACATGTCTCTTCAGTCAGAGATGGCTGCAAGTTCTTTCAGTCATAAAGTTATTCTCCTATAGGTGCCCCCAAACAGGTCCAATTAAAACAGTGGCTTCTTTATAATTCCACCTATTCCGCCTTCTCTATACAGAAAAACATACAAGACAGTAACTGGCTTACTGAGTTCGAACTGCTGATTTTGTGGTCAGCAGCCCAACTTGTAACCCACGATGCCACCACAGTTAGCTCCACTCAATGGTCTGGGAACTGTAATATATTTTAAAAGTGTTACTATTTGCATAAATGGCTGCCGAGTTCCTTCTTACCTGATTGTGCCAGTGCAGGGGGCTGGGCTGGTAAAAAGGGACTTCTGGCCCTGCTAACCTTTCTTGTTAGTTCTTCAGCGTTTCTTATTCATAGCCACCCTGTAGGACAGGGTAGACTAGAACTGCCTCTGTGGGTTTTTAGACTGTAATTCTTTACTGTCAATTCTGCTTCAGCTACCCCAGATAGTCAGAACGAACTTGTGTGGAGGCCGCGTTTATATCAAGATTCAGAATGAAATGGACTTCCACTGTAAAGCATAACTTTCTGCAAACAGGTTCACAATTACAGATTGGACAAAGTTAAAGAAAGCACATTATGCTTTATTAAATTAAAATTTCATTAATCTCACATATAGTATATTTGAGTCTTTAGGATAGAGTCTTTGCATAATTCACATATTGGAATAATGCCATATTTTTTACAAATAACATGCACATAATACAGCTTTAACCAAAAGAACCCCTGGTGCATTTGTTTCCTGTAAGTGCTACATGTAAAAACATGCTTTTTCTTAGGACTAGAGAAATTACACTATAATTGAATTATAATCTTTTTATTACATACTAATAGCCATGAAATGATACTTCTATAATAACGAAGGTCTGGTGTAGAGAACCTAATTTAAAGGGGAAGTCCCAAATAGTGAATTCTGAGCTATCTTGATACTTTGAGGAAATTTTTAGTTTAGATTGTGTGCTGTCTTAGGCCTTTTATGGGTTGATGTTTTAGGTTATAAAAGAGATTCTAATCTCAAATATAATTTAAAGAGAACATTAATTAAGTCCTAAATGGGACAAAGAAAAGACAAAGATAAATCATCTGGATGAGGGAGACCATTGCCACAAGGTCACAATGGCACCCAAGAGTTTGCTGAGATACAGAGCACTAAGAACATGGAAAGGCAAAGGAAACTGTCACAGAAGCACGATTGGCCTCAGATCAGTACATCATAGTTACAGGTGGGAGAACATGTACGGTATTTTAGACAGAAGGGTTAACAAGATTGGCTTGAGGTTTTCCAACCAAGATAATCACACCATGACTCATGAAGGTATGCCGCCCAGGGAGGTGATGTCCATCAAGGACAGGCCAAGCCAGCCTTTGAGGGAGCCTGCCCCTCCCTGGCTGTCTGGAGAGGGTGGAAGTAATCCACTCTCCAGTGCACTCTGCCTTAGGGCAACACTGTTTACATTCCTGGTTAATGGTCAGAGGAGTTTAGTAGAACTTTTATGTGGGCACTCTGCAAATGGATTTTGGGTCATCACTGTCATCCATATCCTTCTGCAAACAGCATGCTCAGAATGTAAGCTCTAGTGAAGTTTTGAATAAGTTATAAGTACTATCTTTGTTTCTAGATAATTTATTTTATATCCATATAGTTATATATTTCTATGTACATTTCTATTTGGAATATTATTCATAATTTTGACACTTTTGAAGAAATATTATTTAAAAAGTCCAGTGGATATGAAATTTGGGGAATTATATGCTTTTTAACATGTTAACCTACAAATTTTACCTCTGAAGAAAGCTTGAGCCATTTACAGAAAACATGTCTATGTCTATAGTATTTTCAAACCTGTACAACTAGCTTCTTCTTTTTTTTTTTTTACAACTAGCTTCTTAAGGTTTCATATAATTTACACTGATTTTGACCCTTTTTTTTTTTAGCATTTTATTGCGGGGGGGCTCTTACAAATCTTATGACAATTCATCATTCAGTTGTATTAAGCACCCTTGATCCTATATTGCCATTAACATTTTCAAAACATTTTCTTTCTACTTGAACCCTTGGTATCAGCTCTTCTTTTTTGCCCCTCCCTTCTCCTTTCTCTCCCCTCATGAATCCTTGATCAATTATATATTATTTCATGTGTTACACAGTCTGTTGTGTCCTTTCACCCACATTTCTAACCTGGTTGGGGGGCTATATATCCAACCTTGTGATGGTTTTCCCCCTTTCCCCCTTCCCTCCCCCTGATCCCACCATCCCCACACCTCATGATATTGCTACTCCCACTACTATTCCTGAGGGTTTTATCTGTCATTAATTCCATGTGTCAAGAGCTCTCCAGTCTAGCAGGATTTGTAAGGTAGATCTCGGTCATGGTAGTGGGGGTGGGGGGAGCATTCAGGAACTAGAGGAAAGATGTGTTTCGTTGGTGCTATACAGCACCCTGGTTGAATTGTCCCTTCCTTGTAACCCTTCTGTGGGGGAATGTCCGATTGTGTATAGAAGGGCTTTGGGTCTCCACTCCACCCCCCCTCATTCAGATTGATATAATTGTTTGGGATCTTTTGATACTTGATTCCTGACTTTGACTCTTTCTGCGTTTTTTTGAACAGTGATCATATGGAAAATGTGTATGGCTATTTAATGAAGTACACTAACCTGGTCACTGGGTGGCAATACAGGTAAGTGTGATTGTTGTTTGTCCCATTACTCTTGAAAGAGACTATAAAAGGAGGCCTAGTGATTTTATATTACTTCAGGATAAACATACTGGGGAATTTTGAAAAGAAGTTTTGAAAAAAAATAGTTTTGTTGGTTCCTCTTTTATTGACCATGTTTTCTGAAGCCTGGATTTTTTTTTCCTTCTTAAAAGATGGGAGGGCGAAGTTGACATCTATCTCCAAATGCCTGAGAAGTTATTATGATAGGCTCAGACCTAACTGTTCACCTGCTTTGATCTTATACGTACACAGTATAAAGTTCTTCTAAAAACATCAAAAAACCAACTCACTGCCATTGAGTTTATGCCAACTCATAGTGACCCGCAGGACAGAGTAGAACTGCCCCTGTGGGTGTTCCAGACTGGAACTCTTTATGGGAGTAGAAAGCCTTATCTTTTTCCCTTGGTGTGGCTGGTGGTTTCGAACTGTGGCCCTTGAGGATTGCAGCTCAATGCATAACCACGGTGCCACAAAGGCTCTAGTTAGGCTCCTAGGGGAACGGACTAGAAGTTAGGAGGCAGAGAATATTTGGGTAATGATCCTATTTTGTACAGATTTTCGCAGCTTTTGGGGTTTGGACATTTAAATAACAAACCCAAAGTCAACTATTTCAAATACTTTATGGAAATGGTAGTTGTTGAATTAATTTATTTAGTGAAAAACCTAGAGTTTGAACCCAGATAGTTTTTACTGCAGAGTTTATGTTCTGTCCATTGTATCATACAACTCCTAATTCACATTATAATACTGAGACTTCTGCTTTTAGCCCTAATAGAATTAAAAGCTGGATTTGCCTTCCTACTGTATACAACTAGAAAATGAGACATAATTGTGAAAAATAGATGATGCCAAACAGTTGTACTTACTTGACTGCTAACCAAAAGGTTGGAAGTGTAAACCACCCAGCAGTGCCATGGAAGAAAGGTCTAGGGACCTGCCTTTGTAGCAACTCCAGCCCTGAAAACCCTGAGGAGAGTTCTGTTCTGCAATGCACATGGGGTTCCCATGAGGTAGAATCAAATCAACAGCAGGTGATTTGGCTTTTTGGTTTAATATTAAGGAGTTCAAATGCAGATGTCCTGCAAGAACATGGAAGTCATATGAGAGGGCAAAGCTGGGCATGAAAATTTAGAAGAGAACCATTCCTATTGAGGAAAAAAGGGGAAAGTTTTTATACGAGAGGGCAAAGCTGGGTATGAAAATCTAGAAGAGAACCATTCCTATTGAGGTAAAAAGGGGAAAGTTCTTATATGAGAGGGCAGAGCTGGGTATGAAAATCTAGAAGAGAACCATTCCTATTGAGGTAAAAAGGGGAAAGTTCTTATATGAGAGGGCAGAGCTGGGTATGAAAATCTAGAAGAGAACCATTCCTATTGAAGTAAAAAGGGGAAAGTTCTTATATGAGGGGGCAAAGCTGGGTATGAAAATCTAGAAGAGAACCATTCCTATTGAGGTAAAAGGGAAAGTTCTTCCATCTTCTATAAAAAGCCAAGCCAAGAAAAAGGTCCTTTCCTTTTCCATTTTTTAATGTAACTTTGGGACATGTGTACCTTCAAATGCTATACAGAATATTACTTAAATTTTTTTATATGGCCTTTTTAAGTGCTATTCTTTGCATTCTTCAAAGGGAAGAAGATTAGCTCATGTCTACCAACATTCAACAACTTTCATTCCCTAATATTGAGAAAGTCTCACACAGGATGTAAGATCGATCCCCAATAAATCAATGCTTCTTAGATTTAACGTGTGTCAAAGATGACATTTCAGGTCTTTGGCAACTGGGACTGGAGGGAAAAGGGGCAGGTATTTGTGTCTTTGCATGATGGAGGTTACCAAAAAGAGCCCGTGGGCCATAGCTTCTGTGAGCAGTCAGCAGATGCAGGGCAACTCCATCTCCAGGATACAAAGTGGGTACTGCAGACTTGCTCCATCCAGTTCTGAAAGAGCCAGTTTTAGAAGGACCAGGAAATGTGGATATTAGAACAACCTATCTCTTTTTGTTATTGAGAACATAAAGCCTTTTAGCAATTTACTTCATCAGAGAGGTACATACAGAAAGTTGATTTTGAAACACTTTTACATTATTTTGCCTTTTAACTTAATGGCTTCAGGCTCACTTCAGAATAAAACTTGCATCTTTACTTTCTCTGAACTTGGCTGGTGGTCATGTCAGTACAACAGATACCCAGTCCTCATCATGAGACATGTAGATTGACTGATCAGTGGAGAACAGAAGGGGAAGATTAAGATCTTGTTGAAGAGCCCTAGACTTTGTAGCCCATGATTTGCCTCCTTACATTTGTCCATGTGCTGAAAACGAAGCTCAAGTAACAAAAGCCCTGCACTCGGGTCAGGTGTTCAAGCTGGATTCCCTACAGTCCATTTCCATCTTACCAATTCATCTTGGGCATTACTTTTTATGTATACCTCGATAAGGGTCTTCTTAGTATAAATATGGGGATAAGAAATTCCTCTTCCACGAGGTGTCGAAGGGATCAGGTATAAGGCATCATCAGAACAAAAAATCTTACCATAGGGAATGATGGGAGAGTGTGGAGTGGAGACCCAAAGCCCATTAATAGGCCACTGGAGATCCCCTTGCAGAGGGGTCTCGGGGAGGAGATGAGCCAGTCAGGGTGCGATGTAACAATGATGAAAAATACAACTT